TGAATATCAATTTGAATCTCACATTGGGGGGTGGAGAGAAGACATAGAGGTATGAGAGGGTGAATGCATAAGTGAAAAGTGTCAAAAATATCTTGGGAACATGAAAAGAAAATGTAATAATGTGCATTAATAACTTGTACTATATGTTATTTTAATTGTAGATTAAGAGATTTAAGACTGAGTGCATAAAGTATTAGTATTTAATGCATTATGAGTTGTTTTTAAGACTTTGTGCATAAATGTATAGTACTTTGTGCATTAAAAATTGTTTTTAAGACTTTTGATAAATCTAGTTTATAAGGTAGTATAGATTTAAGTCTTACTTTCCGTACATAATTATAATTTATCCCTCAAACTATATATTAAAAAAACCCAACATCTTACAAAATAATACGTTGTAACGCGGATAACACGGCATAACGTGCCATAACATGTTACAATGGAAGTCAAGCCTTATAGTGGAGCCACATGAGTTAATGTGGCCTACGAACCCAAGCCTTGATGTATAACACACCATAACGAGTTTATTTAGAACCATGAAAGTAATGCAATCCCATGTTTATGTGTGGCTTCTTTTTATAACTATGGATGTCTGAACTAGCTTACGTGCACTTCAAACAATACCATGTAGTTTTGATGTTAACAACTAGGAAAACCTCTAATGGCTACGAGCAAACTTGAACGAGAGATGTACAAATAAGCCTAGGCTCGAAGCCCTGCTAATAAAAGCCCGAGCCTAGTGAGCCCGTAGGTCGGTCCCGGCCTGCCCTTAAAGCCTGATCATGCTGAAAATTCGGTGAGTGCCTGAGGCCTTGGCCTAACTCGAAAAGCCCGATCTAAAAAAAGTTCGGTTAAGCCCAATCTAGAAAAGCTCGATCATGATCTTTTTTAACCCTAAAGCCCAATCCTAAAAAGCGTAGGCCTTTTTTTTCTCATTGAATATCATCTTTGAAGGCAAGAACAGGCTCGAAAGAGCCCAAGTCTTATACATCTCTAACTTGAACTTGTAACCAATGGAGAGCAAACCGAATGCCTGATTAGGTGAGGTACCCTTAAGGGTTATTTGTATCGCTTCAATGTCATTGCACATGGAGATGACAATGAACATATATGAATCTACCACCAGTCTAAATTGAGCGAGAATTTGACTTTCCATCCACTTATCATTGTTACTCATATTCAATAATATTACTCATATTCAATAAAAGCAACATTTGATCAGTACTAAAAACTGGTTATTTCATCATAGTGTAACTCATTATAAATCATCTCTTATGTACCATGCTTTGATTCTTAGACAAAACATTTGTCGAGACCATTAATATAATTAATTATATACTTATTAGATTGATCATAAATAGGAAAATAATAATATAAGGTGAATGCTTTTAATATCCATAACATCTCAGGTGTCATTTGGTTCATGGAGTCCATCAGATTCCAACGGAATTGAATTGACCAAATTCTAATTTCTTTGTTTGGATGACATTTTGACATGGATGGAATCCTTTAAATTCTTTTGAATTTCACAGATTAAAATTTTCATTATTCGTTGGCATTAATGAATGAATTGAGTTACATCCAAATTTAACCCCCACCATGCCACTATCGTCATCCGCCACCATCGACACCACCATGACACTAACATATCGTCAAAACCACCGCCCCACCCCTACTAATTAATATTATATTGTATTAATAATTTAAGAAAAAAATATAAAAAAAATGTAATAAAGAGGTATTTTGGTCATTTATGTTATTTATTCCAAGTTTAAAGCTACATTTTGCCAAACAAACATGGACATTCCAATTATTTTGAGAGACTTCAATCTAATTCTTTCAAAATCAAATTTTTTTAGGTCCTTTTGGTTTGGCGGATTGGATTTGCAAGGATTTAAAATTGAATTCCATTCCAATCACATGTTTTATTTGAAGGATTTTTCGAAATTGAAATTCCAGGATTTAATTGAAATCCCACAAGCATAGGATTTTGAAATCCACGGAGAGGCTTGGTATTTCATGGGATGTTGTAGGATTTGTGTGTAATAATGTTTTAGAATATGTTAAAAACATTTTTTGTTGTAATAATCAATTAATGAAAAAGTAATTTAATTATTTTTATTTATCTATACTATATTATAAAGCATTTGACAAAAACTTTTAAAAACCATTTTTTATGCATGAAGTATTGTTTATTGACGCATATTATTTAAAATTCAAAATTACAAGTAAATTTAGCGTAAATACAACTTATTAAAGCTTCATGTTTGAATTTGTGTAACTAACTGCAGATAAACATAATTGAACAGATGATAAATATCTCATTTTAAATATAAAAATTTAAAAAAAAATTAGGATAATCATTGACTTCTAACAAAATATTTGATCATTATCTTTATAAAAAAATTATATTATTAAATCAAAATAAAAATTTTGAATTAAAGAAATACACACATAAAAAAAATTAAATAGTTAGTTTGGTATTAATATTAATTATTTTTTTCAATTTTTTATGATATCTTCATATTTATATTTTATTCAAAAATAAAAATATTTTTTTTTCTCAAAACCACATAAAACCGACATCGACTGGGACAAAAAATGAAACATTAAAATCGAGATCTCGCTACATTGTGCGGGTACCCTTCTAGTTATTTATAAAGAATGAAATTCAATTCCATACCAAATCCTACAAACCAAATACATTAAAAATTTCAAACCCTTCCAATTCCAAACTCTTCCACGAAATCCAAATTTCTTAAAACTAAATAGGCATGGGAATTGGACCCGACCCGTCGGGGAACCCGGTCCACCCGCCCTGGTCGGGGACGGGGATTCCCCGTTAAACCGGGTCTCGGGGACGGGGACGGGGATCCCCGCTTGGCTCAAACCGGCGATGGGGACGGGGACGGGGATCACACTCCTCGCCCCGCCCCGTCCCCGTATATATATAATAATTAATAAATTATATTATATATTATATATTTATATTAAATTGGTAAATGATAATTTTTATTTCAATATATTTTGGATATTACTCAATATGTTTTGGAACATGACGTTAATTTTTTTAGATTAAATTTAATTTTTTTTGTTTTCGATTTATTAATTATTATATGATGATGTATAATTTTTGTATTAACTTAAATTCTTTTTGATTTTAGGTTTATTGGGAAAATGTGAGGTTTAAACATGTGTAGCGTCTCACACATTTGATTTAATTTTTTTTACACAAACAGGAAAAAAATCTATGTTTCCCCGTTGGGGACGGGGATGGGGATGTGATTAAATTCCCCGTTGGAAACGGGGATGGGGATGTGATTAAATTCCCCGGTGGGGATGGGGACGGGGACGGGGAAAAAGATCGGGGACGAGGACGGGGATTGGGGTCCCCGCCCCATTACCATCGCTAAAACCAAACGTCAATAAATTACAATTTTACCAAATTTCATTCTACAAACCAAGAGTGTGATGTTTAAATGATTAATTCCATATGATCTTATTCCACCATTAAACATATTCTAAATGATTTAAAAAAATTGAAATAAAAACATATGATAGAAACTTATTCCAAATAAACCCTCTCCACAAAATATTTAAATTATATCTTATAATATATACATGAAAAAATTGAAATAAAAACATATGATTTAAAAAAATTGAAATAGTTGTTTAATTCAGGTTGGAGAATGAAAATGAATATGATAGAGAATGAAAATGTGAATATCTTTTCATTCCCCTAGTTTAACTTGAAAAAATTTAGACTTTTAAAAACATAAGCTCATTATATTATACTGGTTGTGTACCCGTGCAATGCGGCGGGAGCCGTGAATTTTAACGATTTTGAAGTTTTACTGGTTTTATTAGAGAAGATTTAACGATTATATAAGTTACACTTGGTCTTTACATATTAACACAATTGAATAAATAATAATTATGGTTCCAATTACAGTCTATCGATGAAAAAAATTGTATGACAGTTTAAAATCCAATATATTTAAAATCCAACATATTTAAACGACTCCACAAATGTATTCGATTTACACCAAGAGCAAAAAATCAAGAGATCGAGAGCGAGACCGAGACTTCTAGAACAACTGAATGGAGGATGAATGAGAGAACTTTTAATACTCATAATGAATATCAGTTTGAATCTCACCTTGCGGATTGAGAAGAATAAATAAAGGTATGAGAAGGTGGAAGCACGAGTGAAATGTGTCAAAATATATTGGAAACATAAAAAGAAAAAAATAATAATGTGCATTTTAACTTATACTATATGTTATTTTAATTATAGATTAAGAGATTTTAAGACTAAATGCATAAAATAATAATACTTAATGTATTATAAGTTATTTTTTAAGACTTTGTATATAAATATATAATACTTTATACATTAAAAATTATTTTTAAAACTTTTAATAAATCTAATTTATAAAATAATATAAATAAAACCATACAATTTTTATTATTATTATTTTCACTAATAACTGTTTAATAGCTCCAATCAAACACCTTTTCCTAACATTCCTTTAAACGCAATTCCTTACCCCGAGCATTTTATTCCCCTCTCATCATATAATATTATTCCCTGCGTATTTTAAGCACCACAATCAGTTAAAACTAATTTTATATTAACTTAATCTTTGAGCCCTGTGCATTTTACCCCCTACACTTTTGTTTTATTACATTTTGAGTCCACAAATTTCTATGAAATTCAAAAAATAGCACCAAAACAACTGCTCTGTAAGTTAAACAGATACTATAACATTTTTATTAATCAAATCAAAACCAAATAAAACTATTATGTATGTGATTTGGGTTAAAGAGACCGAACAAGAAAGGTTTCTTGCATTTAGAATATGAAATATACTCAAACCAAACTTAAAGGGGATGATATGAAATTACACAAATGTAGGAGGGCTTAAAGTGAAACTTGCAACCCACCGAGTCGTCTCCATTTCTTTCTGCAACCCACCGAGTCGTCTTCATCACATTCATTTCAACATCCCCACTCACACCGGTTTCTCTCTCTAGAAATTCTCTGGAGGTTGCAACCATTTTCAACGTTGTTCAATCGAAAATTTGGGCGGAATTTGTGCAAGATAGTGACGCATAAACGTAAATTTGTTATGATTATTGATGAGTTGTATTGAGCTGATTTTGAAAATCAGAAGAAATGCCATTCAGTAGATATCAGATTAGAAATGAGTACAGTTTGGCTGATCCAGAGCTGTACAAAGCAGCTGATAAAGATGACCCTGAAGCTTTGCTTGAAGGTGTTGCCATGGCCGGTCTCGTGGGCGTTCTACGTCAGCTAGGCGACCTAGCGGAGTCAGTACTTCTCTTTTTGTGTCGTATTTCCTTTCATTGTAGTATCTGTTTGGTAGAAATAAATTGGAGTTCTGGATTCGGAATTGAAGCTTTTTGGCTTCAAAGTTGAATCCATTTTTCTCTGACCCCAATTTAAAGCGAAGATATGCTGGGGAAACTTTTATTTTGTGGCTTGAATTGGTGCAAATGGAGGAGTTGGTTGAACTCAAAACCTGAATCGATTAAGCCCATATACCCATTTAAATATCGAGTTCTCCAGAATAGTGCAGAACTTTATGAGAATAGAGTTCATGCTTTGGAAATGGAATTCTAGGGAACTTACAGAACTAATTTTACTTCAAATTAATCTCCTGAAACTAGGATTTCATGCTTGCACACTGTAAATTACTGATTTTTTTTAATACAAATCTAGTGGATGATATCAATGATTCGTTCAATTGTTCTGAGAAATAATAGTGCATTTGATGAATTAAAAAAGGGAGTGTCTTTTACATTTCAAGATCTTTTAAAGTTGAAACCATTAAGGACGTTATGTGATTGTTATGGTCGTTTGCTGTTCGATTATCGTTATGCATTCAGAATGTCTTGTTTCTTTATTATAATGGAATTGGAGTACAAGTTTTAAATGGTATGCTTGCATACTTGTTCACTTCATTTATCATATATGGGTTATTAAGGTAGATTAAACTCATCACATTTGAGCAAGTTGAACAAACCTTTGACTCGATTCCACTGAGGACGATAATGAGTAGCTTTTAGCATCCAGCTTCATATATTGTAAACTATCTTGCAATATCTTTCAAGCATTAGAGGAACATCTGTTTTCACTATTCACAACCCCAAGACTGGAATATGTAACCAAGTATTGAGCCTTAAGTATTTAGCAAGAACATCTGTTTTCACGATTCACAACCTTGTTCCTAATTTTTAGCCTTTCTCCGAGATTTTGTAGAGTGATGAGGACAATACCATTATTGAAAAGTGAGTTCTAATTGAGCACTTTTTGATCTCTAGTCAATTTCAGAAGTGATGCGAAAGAAGAGAAGTAGAAAGTGTTAAACATAAGAGAGTATATTGACACTTCAATATACTCTATTCTTTTCATTGACGTATCATTTATAATCTTATACCTGTTCTATTATTTGTAATTGGTACTATCTACTTAGCCATCTAGAATATATACACACATGTAAGAAATAGTCACTTTTACAAGTTTTATTTTGTAAAGAAATAGGACTATTTGTATATTACTATCTTAGGATGCATTTTGTACGTCAAATAGGATTGAACAAGACTGAACGAGACTGGACTGGCAAAAGTAAGGTAGGCCGGTGAAAGAATTGTGAAAGGTTTTAATTTGACATGAGTAGTTTAGTAATTTACTTATCTTGTCCCATCTCATTGATTTTTGTTCCACCTATTTTGGTGACACAAAAACTCATTCAGTCCTGTCCTTACCTGGTTTGATTGGCGTGCCAAACACGAGACAACAAGTTTTTTTCTGTTCCGTCTTGTCCCTTCAATGGAACTTCATCTTGTGATACATTGCGTATCATATCATTCTAACAAAAGCTTGCATTAAATTCTGAAGGTTTGCGGCAGAGATATTTCATGATTTGCATGAAGAAGTGATGGTAACTGCGACTAGGGGCCATGGTCTACTGGTACGTGTTCAACAGCTTGAGTCGGATTTCCCTTCAATTGAAAGGGCATTTCTGTCTCAAACAGGCCATTCAGCATTCTTCTCCAGTTCAGGTTAGATTTCTGCTTCTACATTAATTCACATCTTATTATGTCTTGCAGGTCTTACCTTATGCTTGTTTACTTGCCTGCTGCTGGTAATTGTGAATTTATGATTGTGATACACACACAAACAAAACAACGACCACAGTAAATGAATTATCGAACACATGACTTATTTATTTATGGGTTTTGTTTATTTATGGTTCAGAACTTTGTTTATTTATGGGTGTTGTTTGAATGTTATATTTTGTGAATTCTGTGTACACTCAGTAAAAGGAATACTGCCCTTTTATAAGAATAATACATATTACAAAAGGATAGGATAGGAAAACTGTAATCATCAATCATGCAGTACTTTAAGGTTTCTGTGCCATTTGAAGTAGCATTCTTTTTCCAATTGTTCACATGACTAATTACTGAGAATCACTATTGATGTTAAAGGTGTGGGTTGGCATCCTAATCTGCGAACGGAGCAGAATCTCATCACCAGGGGAGATTTACCTCGGTTTGTCATGGATTCTTATGAAGAATGTCGTGCTCCACCTCGGTTGTTTCTTCTAGACAAGTATGAAATTACTCTTTTATCCTTGATATTTTATTGTAAGATACTTTATTGTTAAAAAATGGACCTTTTTTCACTCTATGCTATCATAAAATCACTAAGTTGAAGTAAAAAGTAACTCATTTGACACTTAAAATTCAAAAGTACACTAGTTTTGGAACGAAAGTAGCACCTCGTGTGCTTTGGTCAATTTGCAAAGATTACCAACTTATCTGGCTTTCAACAGGTTTGATATTGCTGGTGCTGGTGCATGCTTAAAACGTTATACTGATCCATCATTTTATAAAGTGGAAGCATCATCATATGAAATGATGAGTGCAGAAGCTCAAAGGGACAAAAAAACCCGTAAGACAAAGGTTAGTTTGATGTGAATTGGTAGTCTTATTTTTTTATTGAAGCACCGTGAGTAGGAACTAGATCTTGTAATGATTATAGTTTGCGAATATGTTATATCATATTGAACTTCGCCGAAAATGGAAATGCTGCATTTACCTTTAACTGAACTGACCATCATCATTCTTGCTTTTCAAATTTTAACAGAAGAAAGGATCACAATGGAAAAACGGAAATACTCCCGAGGTTTTTCAGCCGTCACATGTCAAGTAGGTCTCTAATTCAACAGTTATTTTCATGAAGAACGATCCTTCTTTTTTCAATTTTGCTAAGTTAGTGTTTTCAATCGGACTCAATTCCATTTGTAATACTGCAGACTCCATCAATTACTCCTTGAGGAGCGCATTCAGAATGGCGCATGTGAACCTGCACGTCGTGTGAAATTGAAGAAAAGAAAAAGCAAATTTCCATTTGACATGGAGAATGGAAAAGGGTACATGGAGAAGTTGTTAAGTTCTCCACCGGAGGATAAACTCGTCCATGAGGTACCTCTAAGGTCGCATACCGATAGTTCTGGTGAACCGGGGCTTGAAACATTTGAGATTAGCATGGTTGACCCGCCCTTAGGTTTGACCACCCAAAATAGAAGTCCATATGAATCTCAAAGTGTGGATAAGATGGTCTCTAGGGAGCACATGGATGACGTGCCAGAAAATATAACTGAAAGGTTGGTTTTGGAGATGCCAACTTCGAGTATCAGATTCCAAGTGGGTGGGGCCCACTCTGAACTGGAGGACGAGGAGGTAGAAGAGAAACACATATCTAATAATGGTATTGGAGATGGTTACGAATCCGATGTTGCAAGTGAGGCAGACGATTATGAGGATGCTCTTGCTACCATGGAATCAGAAATTGAAACAGATGCTGAACTTAGAGCGAACTCCAATCCCTCCAATCCAAGCATAAAGCAGGAAATGTCTTCGGATGCAAATGTAGAACAGCTTCAATCACAATCTTCAGGTTCCCAATCTGCTTCAGATGACGAAAGTAGCCCAATTAGGAAGAAAATAACAAGTTTTTCGTATTCTGATGATACTACAACCACTTCAATTGACTCTAGTCAAGCCTTTGCATGTATCGAAATTCCATTTCGCCCACGAGTTTCAGCAACCGATGCAGCCTTGCCTGTGGATCAAGAAGCAAATTTCGAAAAAAGTACTAAAGATTCAGATTTTAGTGAAATGCCGTCTAATAATCGTGTAGATGTTAATAGTCCCAAGAAAACCGAAGAATTTCCAATTGATCCAGAAGCCATCGTCGCCTCTACATCTGAGCCTTGCGAGCAAGATAAGGATGATAGTAATTCCAATTCTACCCTCGTGATTCCACATGCAGAAGAGCAGCCTTTTGGTCCCTTTTTGGTAGAACTCGACATATGTGATGCAGATATGAAGCCTAATGAAGCAAAAATCAATGGTGATACTAAGGCAGCTGAAGAACAGTTAACAGATGCTCTTATTGAGTGTAAATCTGATTCATTAGAAGCCGGGGTTTCATATTCTGGTGAAGACGAAACAGAATTCAAGGATAGAAAAACGGTATCAGTTGAATCGGAAAGTAAAGTTGCAACTTCTGCTGCCTTTGATCCTGCTGATTATAGCAATGGAGATGATAATCTTTCTAATCCTGAGGAGAAAACAGAATTGAAGGATCGAGAACCTGAATCGGTTACTTCAGAAACTAAAGATGTTGATAGTAATGAAAGTGAGGATCTTTCTACTTGTGAAAACTTGGAATTGGATGGAAAAGAAGTAGAATTCATCAACTCAGAAGCTGAAGCTGAAGCTGTGACTTTTGCTGTCGAAAAGAATGAAGAAAATGGTCTTTCTACTGCTGAGTTGGGGATCAATGAGTCAGGGGTCGTTCAGACTTCCAATGAATCTATTGAGAAGAAGGAACTGAGTGAGATATCGGTTATTTCTCCGGAGTTGGACTCCTTTCCTTCTTATGATGACTCAAATATTCAATTTCATTATGGCATTCATAGCTCATCTTCGGCTACTTTCAGTGAATTGAATGAAAATGATGTTTATAACCCATCCACAAAGAAGGAATCGACTGAATCTGGTGAAGAGGAATCGAGTGAGCAACCAGTTATTTCTGTCGAAAAGAATGAAGAAAATGGTCTTTCTACTGCTGAGTTGGTGATCAATGAGTCAGGGGTCGTTCAGACTTCCAATGAATCTGTTGAGAAGAAGGAACTGAGTGAGATATCGGTTATTTCTCCGGAGTTGGACTCCTTTCCTTCTTATGATCACTCAAATATTCAATTTCATTATGGCATTCATAGCTCATCTTCGGCTACTTTCAGTGAATTGAATGAAAATGATGTTTATAACCCATCCACAAAGAAGGAATCGACTGAATCTGGTGAAGAGGAATCGAGTGAGCAACCAGTTATTTCTCCAGAGTTGAATTCCGTTCTTTCTGCATCTTATGATCACACTAACATACAAGATCTTGATAGTATTCCCACATCATCCCTGGCTATCTCTGGAGATGTGAATGAGAATGATGTCGTTGACCCATCTGCAAATTTAAAAATCTTGCAGGATGAAACCCTTTTTGTTACTGAAAAAATTGATCAAAATGGACCGCAGACAGATGTTTCACCAGATTTGGACCTTCAACCTGGCGACCATGAACTTATCGATCAATCAAACGCCCAGTTTCTTGAAAGTGCTTCTAATTCTCCTGTATTGAAATCCTTCGAACAACATGTAGAATCTGAATCTCTGAACCAAGTTGATCACATTGAGAAGCTTGAAAATGCATCGTCTATCTTGACCGACTCAGTTTTTGTGGAAGAAAAGGTTGACCAACCTCATATGCCATCATTTCTTCATTTGGAAAGTGTAGATTCTCAGGAAAACGTAGATCATGGAACACCTTTTGATGCCCATTCTGAGCCTAACCTGGTGAACCATGAAAGCTATTGTTCAGAAAAGGTCAAGGAGTTTCAAGATCCTGTAGAATCTACAACTTCAGTTATAGAAACTAGTGAGTCTTTAGTACCTGTTTCTGAAGAACCATCCGTCCTAAACTTACCACAATCGAGCAGCCATATCAACCTTTCTGATCAGATCGAATATCCCTCAGCTCCAGTGTTTTCGGGTTATAACATGCTTCCCCAATTAGCTCCAATCAATCTCGAGGAGATGCCGCCATTGCCGCCTCTTCCACCTATGCAATGGAGAATGGGAAAACCGCAGAATGCTTCCTTGATATCAAAACCAGATAGTGGTCAACATGAAATCAACCCCTTCCCATCAAATTTTCCCCAAATTGAGAGTCATCCATCACTAGATCCGGACAAAAAAGCAGCAAATGAGAAAGCTGAATATGAAGCATTACCAACTGAGTCAAGTTCACACACGGAGGAAGATGGCAACTCAATTGTATCATCAGAAGTGAAAATTTCAGAACAAGTCCCACAACCACCATCTAATGGTGACCGATCTCAAAATGTTTCAACTTCTGGACGAGAAATCTGTTGGCCATCAACTGGATCTTCACTTCCTCCAGCTGATGATGGAAGACCCAACGGTATCCGGCCAATGAAAGTTCAGCGATCTCGTACTCCCCTCATCGATGCAGTTGCAGCTCATGACAAAAGCAAGGTAAGGAAAGGCCCACGGTATTCGGCCAAATTGGCCATTTTAAATGCTTACTCTTGTTTATGTGGAGAACCTGGATCATGTGATATGGGTTTCGTTTGCAAAATAAAACGAAAATGATATAAAGCGAATTAATACTTGTGGTTTTTGCAGTTGAGAAAGGTCTCAGAACGGGCGATGCCTCTGATCCCGAAGGAAGAGGAAAAAGACACTTTACTGGAACAGATACGGGCCAAGGTACACAAATTACTGATCCTTGCTTCCTTCGTTCCTCTTTCACTTCAAATGCTGGTTTTAGATTGTTTCTGCCAACCATAAGAGTGCTATAAGCGAACTTATTGAAAAAGCCCGTTTGGTAAGTCATAAACTAGCTTTCTGAAAAGTTACTCTAGATAAAATTTTCAATAAACTCCATAGGCTTTTTTCCAATTTTTGCCAATTATGCCCCTTTTATGTTGGAAGTGAGTAATCTCTCAACATATACTATTAGGTTACATTGTCATCTAGCTTATTAGCTGCTTCTTTTTTACCAAACATGACTTATTCATTGGTTAGCTTATTAATCAACAGCTAGCCTATCAGCTAGTTAGCTAAACATAATCATAATGTGCCAAGTAGCAAATTATCATGTACTTTTAAGTCATTTTACAACGTCATCTAGCTTAGGAGCTAGTTTTTACCAAACGTGATTGATTCATCACATAGCTTATCAGCCAACAACTAGCTTATCTATTAGTTTGCCAAACATAGTCATGTGGAATAATGTGTTTTACAACTCATATCTTGCATGAGATTCATATGCCATGTGGAATAATGTTTTTGACAACTGCAAATGAGATATAAATTTACACATTTAATAAGGACTTTGTTATGGTCATACCAGTCGTTCAACTTGAAACCGGCAGTCCAGACTAGGCCTAGCATTCAGGGTCCGACAACCAATTTGAGGGTAGCTGCCATTTTAGAGAAAGCAAATGCGATTCGACAAGCATTTGCTGGAAGTGATGATGATGATGACGATGAAGATGGGGATGATGGTTGGAGTGATTCATGAAAACATCAAATTGATGTCAAAGATTCACAACTTTTGTACCCCTGGAATTGTATGAATAGGAAGTTACATACAACAATAAGCTGTATCATATAATATCATCAACATATTTTTGTATAGATTTCTTGCTCTTTTTTTCTTTCTGGTACTACGATTTTACTGGTTTGTCCTTCCCATGATTATGAATGTAAGTTGGGCTATATACAATAGGTGCAAATGTGTAATTTCATCATTCAGTGTAGATATGTTGGCTGTATAAGGGGGGTTTTGAGTATGGTGCATGTCTGTGCTCAAGTTGAATTGCAGATTTACAAGGCTTATTTGTTGGGATATTTGTTTGATTAGTGCAATTCCTCTAGTGAAAAATGATAATTCAAAAAGGAAGTTTGAGTAAAACAGAAATTATAATTATTTGGGTTTGTTATTTATGATTAATACTTTATATTATGAAACAGTCGGAAACCAAATATTCGTTAGACTAGATAGATGGTATGTATGGTTTGTAACTTTTTCATGGTTTGTATTTGATTGGGACTCTCTGTCTCTATTTTGTATTTAAAGGTAGCTTATGTCCATCCAAACGTATACTTAAAAAATAAGATGACTTATAAGTTAAATTGTTTAACAATCTAACCTCAGTGTTCTGTAATATAACAGGATAAGAGGTGATTTAGAATTATAGTAGTTGATCATTTAAATGATGTAGTAAATTAATCAATCACAACAAACATACTTAATTTGTTTGTTAGTTTAAATGATAACAATGAAAATTAACATGTTTAGCAAATGTTTGTCGCACGATCTGTCTTACACTGTGTTCTCGAAACTTTTTTTGCGAATGAAATAAAAGGAAAGGGAGAAAGAAAGCAGAAAAAACTCGTGTTCTTGAAACTCTTTTAAGAAAGAAAGGAAATGAAACGGAAGGAAAATAATCATAAGTTTCCTCCCAAAACTTTTGTTCCAGTTATTGGAGGAAAATGAAGAAATTAAAATTCTTTAAGAAAATTATTAAAATTACAAAACCATCCAAACTTTCATTACACATATTTTTACAAGTTATATTTATTATATTTATAAAAATGACATATTTCTTTTTTTTTTCTTCTGTTCAAGAAATTATTTTGTTTTTTTTCCTTCCCTATACAAATAAAAAAATTATTATTTTTTCTCTTCAAATTCGATAACACAATGTTAAAGATGTATAATTTCAAAAATTTTCGAGTTTTGGTACGGGTTTTCAAAGCTTGTTTTTAGGCCTAGGTCAGGCCGAGTTAGGATTTGGGATTGAAAAAGGGTCCAATTAGACTTTCTCATGTCATGTGTTTTGTAGTTTTTCTAGGCCAGACCTGACCCCAAGATTTTGACTGATCGGTTTTTGAAGACGGACCCAGACAAGACTTCAGGCTTACTATGCTTGGCCTAGGCTTAGTCCTTGGCGTGGGCCTAAGTCAAGCAAGGGTTTAAATCAAGATTTAAGCTTGAACCTTTTTTACACCTCTAAAATTATCGACAATACCACAATATTTGTTAATGCTAGAAAGTTACTCACGTAATGTAATGAAATACATCTCGATTTTAATGTTTCATATATTTTTTGTCTTTGTCGATATAATACGATTTTATGTGTGTGGTTTTAAAAAGTGAATGTTTAATTTTAAATAAAATATAAATTTGAAGATATTTAATTTTATAACCAAGAATCATTCACATTTGATGTTGAGCTTTTTTGTTTGCTTTCATCATAATTAGTTTCTCATATTGAAGATCCCTTCACATTCAAATATGTGTTTGGTGCTAAATGATGTCGTTTTAATCTTTTCTTGATTATTGACAGCCGCCTCCTTTCTTCTTCAAAACCCATTCAACAAAATTCCATGGTAATTCCTCTTATTCATTCATATAAAACAAAACTTCAGTAGATTAAATATTCATTTGTGTGTTACTGCATTCTACGTGTGCCAACTTCTCACCGTCCACCCAGCTCTGCTATTCCCGATTGCTGAGAAGAAAAATCGAAGCTTTTCGGTTTTCGTTTTTCAATCTGTAACAAAGACCCACATCGAATCTTGAGAAATCGGTTGAATTTTGAGGATCAAAGTTGAAAAAGAAGATGGATAATGGCAATAACAGCGGCGGTGGCGGTGGTAGTGGTGAGAAGCAGAGCCACCGTCTGCCGCTGTCGGATGTGGTGTCCGATTGCTTGAGGAGGTGGTTTCAAGATACCCTCAAAGAGGCCAAAGCTGGGGATCTTTCTATGCAGGTTTTGGTTGCTCAGATGTATTTTAATGGTTATGGGATTCCAAAAGATGCCCAAAAGGTTTGATTTTGACCTCTTAAAGTGAAAATTTTACTGCGATTTTTCTGGCTTCTTTTAAATTTTTCAATTTGCATGTTTATTGGGAATCTGATGAATTGGGAATTTGGGGCCAATTGAAGTTTTGACTTTTAGGATTATCAAAGGTCAAACTACAAGTGGTTTTGACCTTCACAGTTGAATTTGGTTTGAATTCCCATATGGGTATATGAGACCTAGTTTGAGTTTGGAATCACTTTATGGAAGAACAAATGTGTGTGAATCTTGGTACCATCCTGCAAGCATGTGTTATAAATGATCAGTTTATAGCTTTTGCCCTAATCAGTGTCACAAAATATGAAAAAAACCAATGCCAAATTATGTCTATATCTAGACCCTTTTGGCAAGTATTGGAGTGAGTTTGTGTGGCTTGAAAGACACAAATGAGCTAATTCACAAGAAGCAGAAACTTTCTTTAGTTTGATAACATTGGTGGTCAAGAATCATTTCCTCCATTTGTCCCATGGAGATTGTAACATTTCTATTTTTGGGAAGTTTTCTAGTTACATTGCCTATGTGTTACTTATTTGTGCCATAAGTTTTGTCATGCTTACTCCATTTAACCTTGTTTGTGCAAGCTTATATTGGTATTTCTTTATAAGGGTGTTGATGGTTTCCCAAGTATCAAACTATGAGGAATATTTCTTGTTAAAATCACTATTGGGCTGTTGGATAACCGACAAATTAACTAAACATGAGTAATATCGGATTACTTAATGGTGTTGGTTCACATTAATTCACAAATTGGTTTGCCAGGCAAAAATTTGGATGACAAGAGCTGCAAGAGTCCGATCTTCAGTTTGGAAAGTTAGCAATAAACGTCCAGGTCATCTCTCTCTCTCTCTCTCTCTCTATATATATATATATATATATATATATATATATATATATATATATAAATAGATAGATAGAGTGAGGTTCAAGGGAAAACCCCCAAAAGAATGAAAAACCAAGGAACATCCTAATAACCATTCAATATGCACATGTGAATACAAGTACTTGAAGACGTTTCCTGGTTTCTATGCACATGTGCATACTGGAGAAATTACTTGTATGCATACCGTACAAATGAATGATTGTTAATGTGTTCCTCAGTTTTTCATTTTTTTTGCGGTTTTCCCTCAAACCTGACCCTATATATCTATATATCTGTGTGTGTATGTAATTCATTTCTGTGTCATTTATCAGGTTATAATGCAAGTGATTCTGATTCAGAAGAGTTGTTGGATGACTCTTGATAGGATGAGTAGGTAATGCATCCCAATTTCAATTTGACAGGTTCTCCATTTTATGTATTTTTATGGATTCTCTTGGGATAATTTGGTATGTTAGCTATGCATATTGCAGCTTATCACTTCTTTCTTAGGACTTGCTATCTGCTTTCTTCCTAGAATAGTTGGCACACATGATTGTATGAAGACCATCCACTCATGTACTCCATCCTTCACATAGAAGATAGTTGAAATTGGACTTTTTATGTCGATGAAATTACTTTTATTGAAATCCAAATGAAAGCTGAATTGGCACTTCAGAATTCTTTAATAATACCATGGATGTTACAATAGGTCTAATGTTTTTGAAGAAGATGCAAACAAATTTGAAGAAAACTAGTTGGTTGATTAGTCACCTCATAGAAGTTGAGAAATGTTAAAAGAAACGTGGAACCATAGGCCACTTGTTCTCAAAAGCGGAGATAATTTGCACTTTTTCACTTCAGACCAAGTACTTCCCTGACATAAGATCAATTTGAACTGTGTTACTAGTTCATCACCAAGGTTTTTAACATTTCTTAGAAAGTGTAATGTCCTTATCAAGAAAATATTTCACATAATATTTGAAGTTTGTATCAATTGAAGTTGTAAGTCGTTCTCCTTGATTTTAAAAAGTCTTGGGTATCTCTTTTTGGCTCCTAGGGAGTTAGGGTGTATATTGTTTTAGTTTTAGGGTTTAGGGTTTAGGGTTTAGGGTTAAGACTTAGCTAACCATTAACATACAGTCCCCCGTCATTTAGAATTTACCCCTTGTTATTTATTTTGTCTTTTCTATAAGCTTGTTAATTCCTTCTATACAAATCACCTTTGCTTCTTGATTGTATGGTTTAAAAGGCAACTACTGACAACATTAGAACCTAAATTTAAGATTTAAGTTCGAGACTCATTTTAATAACCTTTTTCCGTTAACCCAAAAAAGTTGGATAGATTTGCAAGGCGGGATATCCTTTTAGTTAGATATGGTAGCATCAAATGAGGATACGAAAAGAGTTGAGTGCTGAGTCGTATAAGGTAGGAAACTCAAGTACATATCTAAGGGAACAGAGTAGGGGTGAAGACGTAAATAGAAAGAAGGCGTGTTCGTAACGAGTAGATAAAACGCACTATAAGGGTTATGTGTAACATCAATACTCCAAACTTCACAAGATTCAGAACAAGATTGCTTGTGCATGTTTCATTCTATGGGAAAGTTGTGATTGGTATAACTTAAAAACCTTGTAATTGCATCAGATCTTGCAAATATTTATCTAGTAAACAAATTAGACCAATATGTCTCACTTGAAGTAGGGTTGATTTTTTTGTTTGTGCAAACTGTAAACCAAACCAAACAAACCCTGTATATCCCACTCGGAGGTGGGGTCGAGGGGGTGGGATGTATGCAGACTTAACCTCTACCTCAAAGAGTAGAGCAGTTGTTTTCGTGAAGACCCCTGGCTTGTGCAAAAAGAAAGGATACAACTTGCTCAAAGAACTTGTTTTTATTTAATTTAATAATCTGATTGGGTCAGGTTGTGGCTTAATAGATCCTCAACTTGCCTCAACACTTTCTACCCTCTTGTTATTTATCTTGTGCCTTCTATTTGTACATTAAGCTCTTTCATACAACCGTTTATTCCTGAAACTAGCTTGATTATATAGCTTAAAAATGTGGTCATTTAACCACAAGGGTGGTGCCTAATTGGTTTGAGCTTGGCTCCAAAGGTCAAAGGTACCAGGAGGTCACAGGTTCAAATCCAAGGAGGAATAAAAATCCCCTTGTGGCCATGGAGGTTCAAATGCGATGACTCCGGGCTATTTGCAAAGCACGTGGTCGCCCTAGGATTAGTCGGCTCGCATAGCTAGTTGGATATCCAGGTTAATCCAAGGAAAAATGTGGTCATTTTGTGGAGGGGGACAGCATGTTAACTACGAGGGTGCACAACATATTTAGTAAGGGGTCAGGTGCAAATAATAGGGGAAATGGCATCAAAAGTTCTCCAAGAGGCTTAACAACCCCAAGTTATAATAGACATATAGGACTAGATTATATAATGAAAAAGATAGAATTATTAGAAAAGGCCTATATTGAACTGTAATGCATTCGGAAAGAGTACTATATTGTACCTATTCTGCAATCGTATTCATGAAACAAAACAACCCTTGTGCAACAAAGTTCCAAGTCTTTTCGCACAGTATTTCCCTTGCATTCTGAGGAGTGAAATTGTCACGCGACTTGTACACGTGATATTTTGGTCGCATCGGAGTAACTCCAAGTTCGACTTTTGTTCTGTGTATCAAGAAGTTCATTTGATGCAACTCTTCGCGGTCCTCGCACCTTTTTAATCAGTTGGATTCTCACTGATGCAAGAATTTACTTATACAAATGTCTCGTTTTTTTGGCACAGAGGAAGTATAATTTTCTAGTTTCATTTTGGATGCTGATGACTCATTCGGTTTGGTACCCTTCTCTGTTATTTATAGTTTACCGCCTTGTTATTTATCTCGTTCCTTCTAAATGCATGTTAACCCTCTCTGCGTAACCACCGCTTACTTCTAAAACTAGATTTTTTCTATGGTTTAAGAAGGTGATCATGATGGTGGATGGATTAAAATGTAAATGAAGGAAGACAAGTTGTTAACAATTGTACCTATTAACTCATAGTTTTAAAGGGTAGACGCCACTATCTGGAGCGCCCCCACCGAACGGGTCCCACAACCATCGTGGGAGGTAAGTCAGCAATAAGTGGTGGTGCCCAAGTTTGAACACGAGACCTCCTTCATGGATGACCACCATCCTACCGTGTGCATAATGCTCTTCAGTTTTATGCTAATAACTATTGCTATTTGCTTTCATCTTAAAATAGTTAGCCGATATGATTATGTGAAACCGTTAAGAGTAGTCTTTCTATGCGCATGATGAACAAGTGCGTGCATACATGGTCAATAAGAACATCTCCAACAAAACAACTACTCTAAAATAGAGATTTTGGGGATTATGCTTAACTCATTGGTTTGGTTTCTTTTGCAGGGCTCTGATTTGTTCATCTAATCAATCAATCAATCAATCAATCATTTGTGCGAAATTGCACCTGGGTTTTTGATGCAAACTTTTCGCGGTTTCATTTTGTTCTTCGTTTTAGAAAAAACCAATTTGTACAATTGACCGGTTTTCAGGTTTCAGTTCTTGTAGAAATAACTTTGGTTTTCATTTTTTTTCCTATGCCGATGAACAGTTTGTGAATTCCTGGGTTTTGTGATGAACTCGAAATATGTTGGGTCAATGTCCGTTTTATCGTTTCTCTTCTTCTTCTTCTTTATTAAGCAACTCATTTTTCTGATAACCTGCAACTTCAGGTTGGAAGCCAAGTTGTAAATTCAACTACTCCTATATATAAAGTTTGGTTAGGTTGCTATTGCTCAACTAATATTCCAACACATGCATTCTGGTTGCTTTTAGTATTTTCTCTTTTTCTTTTTCTTTTTCTTTTTCTAATCAGACTTAAGACTTCAGCATCTCTTAAGAAACAAATGTCACCTTAATGATAACCGTTGTATGTACAAATTGTATAACAAATTTATCGATGCTGTATAACTTTTGTATCGAATTATATAAATCAGTAACCAACAAATAAAATTTTATGCTACATAAATAACAATTTTCATTGGTTTGGTTCGATCTGAGACATTTCGTTTAAGATTTGTTTTATATTTCATGTGAATGTTTGGCTTCTGTGAAGGTCTTTGACGTCTTACTGTAAAGATCGAGATAAAATAACTGATATAAATCTTGGGGTTTTACAGAATGACTTAATTTACAAATAATTTTGATTGGAAATGGTTTGTTATATCAACTCAATACCAATGTCATTTTTACGATTGATAGTTTTTTATACAACAATTTAATATAAAAAAAGAGTTTATCTACCTCAACACTTATCCGGTACGTGTTTATCGGTAAAATTCAATACTATCGTATACTTATCAGGTAAGATTTGAGTCCACCAAAACGACATTGTATGCAACAATTTACCCGGTAAATGTTGACCGTAGTAAGAGTCGTCGTCATCACTTACCGGGTAAGACTCTCGGTTCTTGCTTTCGTTCTGACCATATAAAATTCTTGGTCTTTTCCATATTCATACGGGTAAGGTAATATGATTTGGTAAGTATTTGATAAACGAAACAATATTATGATTGATAGTTTTTTATTTTTATTTTTTTATTTAGATGTTAAAATATGCGATGATTCAGTGGAGTTGGGGGAGGCGAGAAGATAGACATCGAATGTCATGGTTCATGGCAACATCTGCAGGGATATAACAGTCATTTCACATCATCCTTCTCTTCTCCGGCTACAAATTCAAATATTCAAGAACCAAGAGAGAGAGGGGAGAGATATACATACATATATCTGTATCTATATACATATATATATAGAGAGAGAGAGAGAGAGAGAGAGAGAGAAGATGGAGGAGGGGTATTATGTACAATTGCCGGATGAGGAGCCACATCATCACCATCATCAAGATCCCATCCCTGCATCTCTTCTCATTTCTCTATATGTTGGCCACTTCTTAGCCAGATGGGGTGCCAGGTCTCTCTCTCTCTCTCTCTCTCTCTCTCTATATATATATATATATATGTTATATACACACAACCTTCTGATCTTGCAATCACTTTCTTGTTTGAGAATTTGTATGATTTAATCATAAGATTTGAAGTTTTGGATGTTTTTGTAATTTAACTAATATTAGGGGCCGTTTACCAAACGCTTACTTGGATAAGTGAATACCAAGTCATATTATCTTACCGGATGAATATGGTAAGGACTAAGAATCTTACCCGGTAATTAAGAGTAAACCAAGGATCAAGAGTTTTACCCGGTAAGTGAAGGCGAAGACTCTTACCACGGTAAGTGTTTACCGAGTAAATTGTTGCATACGATACCGTTTTGGTAGACTAAAATCTTATCGGATAAGTCAATGATAATGTTTAATTTTACATGTAAGCACTTACCGGGCAAGTGTTTGGTAAACAGCGCCTTAATTTGACGGGATCAATGAATAGTTGTAAATGAAATTCACAATTAGGTTACATTATAATTAACTTCAAATGAGTTGTATGAAACAAATTTTGTTGAATTAAAATAGTTATGGATTTAAATAGGATGTGGGAGTTTTCGGTCGGGTTGTATATGATCAATGTTTGGCCGAACTCTTTGCTTATGGCTGCAGCTTACGGGGTGGTCGAGTCAGCGTCTACCACCTTATTTGGTCCACTCGTAGGCCAATGGATCGATAACTCGACATACCCAAAGGTGCGATCTCTTTCTTGTTTGACTATAATTTCTTTGATTTAAAAATATATGAATTCGTGAACATTAAACGTTTGTAGCAAGTTGAGCCCGATCTTCAAACAAATAATATGCTCGATCTATTAACAAACGAAGGGCATTTTGGTCTTTTACCATGTTCTTAATTTTCCATTAGCAATATATTATATATTACACAAAACCAATCCGAACAATTTAATGAGTTTGATTAATAAGTTAGGATTCAAATTGTTTCATTTATTTCATTGTTGTGTGTGTATGTGTGTGTTTCATATTATAAACGTATTTTCATGGTTTTTTACACCGTAAATATTTCATATATTAAAGATTGAATTACGGATTTGGTCCTTGTAGTATGTCAAAAATTACAACTAACGTCCTTGTACTCGATTAATTATGGATTTGGTCTACATGATATTCATTTTGTTATGACTATAATCCCTGAAGCAAACGTTTGTCTGCCAACCTTTGTTACTTAGAGAGAAATCGAGAGTAGATTTCGTTTAATTTATGGTGTATTTTTCTTCTAAGCCAACACCTCTATTTATATTTGAGATGTGATCAAATAACTATCTGATCACAACCCTAAATTTTGAAAACTCAATCCCCAAGAATAGGGTTGGAGACTTACGGTTATTTTTCTAAACGTGTTTAAAATTTAATTTTGAAATTAAATTTGCTAAAAACGGAATTTAACCAATGAATAAATATCAAGTTTTCTTTAATCAGTCATTATCCATTTCTCTATGATGTTCAATTAAAAAAGCCTCGGGGGCGAGGCTCCTCTGTTTCGATGCATCCTCGCAACACTTCATGAATCCCCACATACACGCGAGTGTGCTTTGTGCCTTTCATATAAATCTCATCATGAGCCCAACAACATATTCAAAGCCCACTTGAGGGAAAGAGCTTATTTCCCTAAAAACCAACCATCACAACCACCACACTCCCTCCACTCTTCACTCTTCACTCTTCTTTCTTTCCTCCACCCCAACTTCGCTCCTATTCCAGCACCATCAACACTAAGTCAATGATACAAATCCATCTAATATTGTTTTTTTTTTTTTTTGGATTTGTGGACATTCCATTAAAAGTCGTCTGAATTTCAAAGTAGAGGCTTTGATCAGATGGAGGAAGGGGAGGGACTGGGAGAGGTCAACTCGGGGTTCACCCGAAACCGAACCAAGTGGCGAAGGCAATGCCTTTTTTCGGTGCCATGTGTTGTATGTGCGCCTATGTATATATACATATAAAAAAATTATATATATTTTAACCTTTTTAGTAAAAAAAAAAAAGTTAAAACAAGTTCTTTTCGTCTTCTTACGTAATCGAGTTAAGAGATTTCATCAATGAGAAGGACTTTAGCCATGACAAGATGAATACGATGCAACCAAATCCATAATTAATGAAGTAGAAGGACATACCATATCATATAAACCAAACCCGTTTTTCACTCTATATTTTAAGGAAAAACAATATTTCGTGGGTGTTTAAGATTGTTTATAAAAACAATTTATTGATTTATTTCGATGTGATACCAATAATAAACATTTTTGAGTATTTGAATAAACAACTTATATCGATATCAAACCGATAATAAAGAGTTTTTGAAGAAGTCAAATACTTCTGACTTATTAATAAATTAACAAATACTTTTTTTTATAGAAAGATAATTCGTTTCAAAAAAGCAATCCTAAGTGTCCGTACGATATTTCTGTGTATATTGGTGGCTTGAGATGGGTATTGTTATGTAAAAATGGAGGTTCAGGGGCTCCTTCCTCATCATCACCAACAACTTATCGCTATCCCTACACCTCTTCTCATTTCTCTCTATCTTGGCCATTTCTTAGCTAGATGGAGTGCCAGGTGTCTCTTTCTTTCTCTATATCTATATATATCTACACACACACACACAACCTCCTAAATCCTGCAATGTCTTTCTTGTTTGAGTGTAATTTCTACGATTTAAACACAGAATTTTGATTTTTGGGTGTTTTTTCGTTTGTGAATCTAACTGATTTACTAATGAATTCAATCATATTTGGTTTGAAAAACATGAATTTCAATGAACTTTAAAGGAACCCTCGACGCTATGAACCCTAAAAAATATTCTTGATTCAAATATGTGTAATTCTTGTGATTTAATCACAAGATTTGATTTCTTTACGTTTTTTGTTTAATTCAATTACAGACCCATTAATTTAATACTGACGAACGTGTTACATTTTAGAAAATATGGATAAATATTATATATTATAACCTCGAAAGTAGTAGTTGTACCATAATAACATATGTTATGGATTTAAATAGGATGTGGGAGTTTTCGGTCGGGTTGTATATGATCAAATTATGGCCGGATTCTTTGCTTATGGCTGCAGCTTATGGGGTGGTCGAGTCCACGTCCACCGTCTTATTTGGTCCACTCGTAGGACAATGGCTCGATAACTCAACATACCCAAAGGTTCGATCACCTATTCCAAGACCGTCAGGAAAAAAACATGTTCTTTTTGTTAGAGTCCCACGTCGGCTATCTTTTGAGGGCTGACTCAACCAGCAAAAAGGCTAAAGGATAGGTCTTTGGCTGATTGGCTCGTTCATGTAGGCTGCTAGTTCGAGTCTAATTAAGATACATAATTGTTGGTAATAAGACACATAATTTTTGGTACTGCCCCGTTAAGTATTCTATTATGACGCCTAAAGATGGTTAGACGTCCTAAAAGACACATTTTGTTGTAGGGTGTTGGGTACTGCTGAGCCAATGACCCTTTGGTAACTTGGGTCTTTCGGTCTCTCCAAATGCTTTACAGGTTGATCTAACGAGTAAGATCATCTGGTGAACGACCCTTGTGATGCTTGGTTTGTCGATTGTGGCTCTAGAAAAATAATGCACCTTATATGGCACCATCTTCGAATTCTTTTATTTGACAGGTTCTTCGGATTTGGCTGTTGACTCAAAACTTGTCGTTTATCGTGGCCGGAATTACGGTGGTCGGACTTTTAATCTCTCCGGACTTGCGGATAACCAACGTTACTGCGTTTTCTTTGCTCGTTGTTCTGATCAATCTCTCCGGAGCTGTTGCTGTTCTTTCAACTCTTGCCGGAACCATCTTGATCGAAAGAGAATGGTAAATTTATGTTCTAGGAACTTTGACTTTTCGAGGTCAAACCGTTCGTTTGAACCTTCATAGATTGATGTAATTCTTTAGACATCTAAAAGATTTGATGATTACCCTACTCTAGAATTATATCAACGGCTAGATTCCGTGTTTGACCTCAAAAGTCAAGCCATCTCGATTGAAATAAAATGTTAAATTTATGTTTTAGGAACGTTGACTTTTGGGGTCAAACCGTTGCATTCAAACCTTCATAGATTAATGTAGTTCTTTAAACATAAAGTTTGACAACTACCCAAATCTAGAATATATATATCAACTGGTTAGATTTCGTGTTTGACCGCAAAAGTCAATCCATCTCTATTAAAAGAGAACTATAAAGTTATGTTCTAGGAACTTTGACTTTTGAGGTCAAACTGTTGCATTGAACCTTCATAGATCCATGTAGTTCTTTAAACATCTAAAAATTTGAGGACTACCCTGATCTAGAAATACATCAACAGTTAAATTTCGTGTTTGACCGCAAAAGTCAAACCATTTTGATTGAAGAAGAATTGTAAGTTTATGTTCTAGGAAGTTTGACTTTTGAGTTCAAACTGTTGCATTCAGACCTTCATAGATTGACCTGATTCTTTAAGCAGCTACAAAAGATTTGACAATTACCCGAATCTAGAAACATATCAACAGTTAGATTTCGTGTTTGACCTGAAAAGTCAAACCATCTTGATTAAAAGAGAATGGTAAATATTTGTTCTATGAACTTTAACTTTTGAGGTCAAACCATTCTAATCAAATCTTCATAGATGGATGTTGTTCTTGAAAAATCTAAAAATTCGATGACTACCCTAATCTAGGTTTATATCAACGGTTAAATTTCATGTTTGACCTCAAAAGTCAAACAGCGTTGTTTTTTTCTGGCTCGAATGACATAGATTCCAAATCTGGACAGGGTGGTGGTGATATCAGAAGGGCATTCTTCAGACTTACTAACAAAGATGAATTCTAGAATTCGGAGAATCGATCTAATAAGCAAATTATTCGCGCCTGTTGTATCGGGATTCATCATCAGTTTCGTGTCGTTAATCGCTTCGGCTGCCAGTTTAGCAATCTGGAACGTACTCTCGATTTTCTTGCAATATTGGCTCCTAAACTCCGTGTACAAAGGGATCCCGGCTCTATTGGAAAGAAACCGAAAACGGGGCCTAAAATGCATGGTGCTAAATGATCAAGAACAAGCCCCTTCTACTTCTCGGGATCAATCTAGACAAAATCAGAACGCAGATGATCGTTCTGAAGACGTTTCTTTGGGTAACCGGATGGTCGAGAAATTCGTCAAACGGGTGTCTGACAATTCGTTTATTCGTGCTTGGCAAGTGTACTTTCGACAAGATGTCGTTCTGCCTGGACTAGCTCTAGCTTTGCTCTATTTTACGGTCCTCAGGTGCGGTTCTTGATCTTCATTTCATCTTCTTTCCATTGATCTCGTAATCACCCGAAAAACGATAAAAAGGTTCAGAAGAACCAATAATTTTGCCCAAATGGTCTTCGGCCCAATGGTATTCCTGCCGGTATTGCCGTATATAAAATATTATATGCTTCAAAAAACTAGCGATTTTGGAGAAATTTGAAAATATAATGTTATTTATATATATTTGCACCAACGATGGTTTGTTTGCAATTAAAAACATGATCTGATAGTTTGGAACTTCAATTGCTCTTTTTCGGGTTTATTTTTTGACAGTTTTGGGACTTTGATGACGGCGACATTGGAATGGGACGGGATACCTGCATATGTAATTGGAACGGGCAGAGGAATAAGCGCGATAGTTGGTATCTCGGCTACGTTTTTGTACCCTTTTATGGAGACTCGAATATCGACTCTTAGAACAGGACTTTGGTCGATCTGGTCACAGGTAATTTAAGGCTTTTTGTCGAAAATTTGAAAAATAAAACTTAGCTGTTCGAAAATGTGTTGAGGACGGATATTTTGTTCGATCCCATAAAGGCTAAATGCTAAAGCATCGTTTACTTCGCATATAGTGGGCGTGCCTGTTGGTTTGCGTTGGCTCGATATGGGTTAAAAACAACACCACCTCGGCATACGTATTGATGGCGGGAGTAGCGGCATCGCGTTTGGGGCTCTGGGTGTTTGATCTATCGGTCATTCAACAAATGCAGGTGAGGTAAAAGTCCGAAACATGTAGAAAACGATTTCAGATTCACGTTATGTGACGTTAGGTTTGATTCTGAAACAGGATCAAGTTTCGGAATCCGATCGAGCTGTCGTCGGAGGCGTTCAAAACTCGATCCAGTCTTTTTGGGACTTGATGACATACATCATGGGGTTGATTATCTCCAATCCTCAGGTAATCTTTATTTGTTCATATCATTTATATATATATATCTATACTATATTATAAAGCATTTGACTAAAACTCTTAAAAACTCTTAAACTCTTAAAACTCTTAAACTCTTAAAACTCATCCTTATCCGATTTCATCCCATAACTGAATCCGTGTAACTAACTGCAGATAAACACAATCAAATACAGGATAAACATCTCATTTTAAATATAAGAAATCTAAAATATAATTAAGATAATCATTGAGTTCTAACAAAATACTTAATTATTATCTTTATAAAATGTTATATTATTAAACCAAAAATAAATTATTTCATTATTAAACTTAAATTAAATTAAAAGCTTTCAGYAGTTATCCGCTCCGCACTTGGCTACCCAGCGTTTACCGTGGGCACGATAACTGGTCACCCAGGAGTATTTAGCCTTGCAAGGTGGTCCTTGCTGATTCACACGGGATTCCACGTGCCCCATGCTACGCGGGTAAAAAAGAACCCTTTTTTTGTGATACCTATGATGTAATTGGAGCTTATTGGCAAAAACGAATCAATTTAGGAGAGGGCTTAGTTGATCCATGATTTATGTTTCATCTTTCGTTTCCTTTTCGTTTGTTTCGAGAAATATATCGATCAATTCCGATTCTTTTTTTAATCTATACTATATTATAAAGCATTTGACAAAAACTCTTAAAAACTACTTTTTATACGTAAATTACTGTTTATTAATGCATATTACTGAAAACTCAAGATTACAAGTAGATTGTGCGTAAGTACAACTTATTAAAGCTCCATATCTGAATTCGTGTAACTAATTGCAGATAAACATAATCAAATA